AAAAAAAAAAAAAAAAATGCATTTACCCATGATGGGGGTAACCCAGTTATTCTACTTGTTAGGAGAATACATAAAATGATATATATGAACACTGTTTAGTATCTTTTGAGAGAATGGCACTTTGTAGAGCTAAGGTATTAGTAATAATTATACTCATCAGTAGGTGTGTAAATCATAAGGTAATATTTAACCTATGAATGACAAGTTCTAAACTTAATAGCAATCTTAGGCAGGAAAACCTTACTTTGGAAGTCTTCCAAAAGATGTCATAAAAATTAACTGACTAAATATTCGTCAGTGCCATCTGTAGAGTAATTAAAAGTGAAAACTGGCATCAGATTGTCTTGTCAGCATGCCATCCTGAAGAATTATATAGTTTTTGGAAGGGCTGTTCTGTAGATGGTCTGGTAATTAAAATATACCCTTTAGGCAGCTTCGATAGTCCTGCACTGAGATCTCTGGAAAAGTGCCATCCTTTAATTACTCATTTGCAAATATATACTAAGCATTTTCATTTGAAGTTGTAAATCTTCTCACTTGACTATCCTAATTTCATTTATTTGATTCATTTTTACTAGGAGAAAATTGACATTTTTGAAGGGATAAAGGACAGCCAAGCACAGCGGATGGCAGAAAATCTAGGCTTCCTTGGGCCTTTGAAAAATCAGGTACATGAGTGATTGGAAGACAGTGTGTCTGACTTGTTTGAAAAAACATTGGGGGATTGGCTTAATTGAGACTAATGTTTGTGTTTAGCATAAATCAAAATTATTTATTGTTTCATAATTTTTCCTCTGATTTCGTATGATGAAAAAAATATTTCCCTGTTATTTCAAAAGAAGATTTTTTGACATGTTTGTTATTATCTATTCCTCTCTGTGTCTATATACATACATACATATATGTGTGTGTGTGTGTGTGTGTGTGTATGTGTACATGTGCATATGTTGTTATGTGTGTTTATTTGTTTCTTTGTTCCTCTGTAGCATTACAGATCCAGCTCATACTTTCTGAGAAGTAGAAGAGTGGTTAAAGGTACAAGTTGTAGAGACAGACAGATCTGAGTTTGAATCCTGTTCCTGTCACCTGGCACATCTGTGATTTAATCAGTCTGAACTTCACTTTCTTAATCTCTAAAATGGGGATGATTCTAACTCCTAGCTGAGAGGTTTATTTTGAGGCTTGAATGTAATGATTTGTGAAAGTACTTATCATGGTACTTATTTATTATCAGTAATGAACGATACTTAACTACTTGCTATTTTTTATAGCTGATGGGCAAATGAGATGAATATTAATGGCATCAAGGTGTTCGGTCCCTGAATGACCTTAAAATATGCCCTATTAAGAATGATATTCCTTTGCTTCAAGGACATAAAAATTATTCTCTCTGCTGCTTAGGAAAGAGTTTGTTGTGAGCATCATAACCCTGCACTGCCTTAGGCCTATCCATAGAGCCTAATTGTATCTTGCAGCTAAATTAGAAGAAGCTAAAACTACTAAGTATTGTTTCCCTCTTCCATAATCCAGACAGGCCACCTTAGGCATCCTAGAACTTGTGAATGTATGTGTGTTTCACTAGCCTAGGGCTCCTTGATGGTTACATAATGTCTCCTTCAATTTTCTTGGGTAGTGCAACTCTAATAAAGTAGTAGATTTTGTATTCTTTTATTTCCCTTTATCTTATTTTATTTTGATTGGTTCCATCTCTGGGAGTTTCAGGCTGAAAATAAAGCAAGTCAAAAAGGGATAAAGTATTGTAAGACTTCACTTATTTGATGGTGGGGGAAAAGGCTCCCTTAGAAAGCAGAGGAGTCAAGATGGTAGAAGGGGACAGGATCATCTGGTACCATATGTCAGTAGGAGATGGAAGGGACAGGATTTAGTGCACAGTTAAGTAATTTTTATTTCTAAGATTGGCAAAAAGATTGTGTTTTGTTGAAGAAAAAGATACTGGAAGATTCCTGGATATTTACTGCAGCGTTCAGCTTCACCTCCTGAGAATGAAGCTGCAGAGTACATAAACCATTCATTTGATATATACTAGGAGCTCTGGTAGCCTCGTGCCTAAGGCATTTGACTGCTAACCATAAGGTTGGTGGTTCAAACCTACCAGCCACTCCTCAGAAGGAAGGTTGGGCAATCTACTTTCATAGTGATAATGCCTCTGAAATCACAAGGAGGGGTCTCTATGAGTTGAATCTGACTCTACGGCAGTGAGTGAGTGAGTGGAGTGGCTTCTTGTGTAGGGATGGTGGTTACCCAGAGCCACTCTCCCAGTCACTGTCTTCTAGCTACACTGCTCTACAGTGAGTTCCAGTGTGTGCTTAGTAACTTGTTTATTTCCTCCATATCGTTTCACACATCTGAACTTCTCTTATTTGTAGTCACCTTTGCTAGGTCTTCAAGCTCTCGTGGTGTAGTGCCTTAGGCATTTGACTGCTAAGCAGAAGATTGGCAGTTCAAACCTGCCAGCCGCTCCATGTAAGGAAGATGGAGCAATCTACTTCTGTAAAGATTTACTACCTTGGAAACCCAATGGGGATCACTATGAGTTGGAATCGACTGGGTAGTGAGTTTGGTTTTTTGGGCTAGATCCTGATCTGCATCACAGCAGGGACTTTGTCTGTCTTGCTCACTGTTCTGTTGCCAGCCACCAGATAACTGCTTGGCATGCATATTAGGTGCTCAAGAAACATTTGTCATATAAATGAATAAGGAAGATAACATGTCTGGGATGCCACCTTTGAAGAGATTTCTCAAGACTCAGCAAAAGGTGTCTTAAGTGGCACAAGAGTAAATCGAGAGTAGGCAAAATATCTGCTGACCACCTGGCTTTTGAAAGCTTAGGAGGTCAGCCTGATCGAGAATTCTAGAGAAGGCAATAATAGTATTATGCATATTGTAGGACAGTCCCATGCCATAAAACCAAAAAAACAAACTCACTGCCGTTGAGTCTGTTCCAACTTGTAGAAACCCCTCCTTGGGTTCCCAAGGGGGTATCTCTAGGGAAGTAGATTGCCAAGTCTTCCTTCCATGGACTGGCTGGTGGGTTTGAACTCCCAGCCTTCTGGATAGCAGTCAAATGCCTTAGGCACTATGCCACGAGCCATCTTATAAGATAAAATTAAGAGTTATTTATAGCTCTTAAATGGTTTAATTATGTTTTCTCAGTGCCTGAAACACTAGCTTTTAAATGAGTTATCTACAGAAGGAAGATGAACATGCAAGTACTCAGGGGTCATTAAGTAGCTATATTCTCATTATATTTTTAACTGAATTTATCAAAGGAAATAGAATTACATTAAAAGGAACAGCATTTTTAAATTTATTTTTTCTTTTTTCTATATTTGCACTATAAAAGGCTTTAAACCTTTGTTCTCTCAACAGACTTGGAGTAAACACTGGCTGTGTACTGGTGACTCTCCAGTTGTTGTTGTTATATGCCGTTGAGTTGGACCTGACTCATAGCGACCCCTCCTTGGGTTTCTGAGGCAGTATCACTTCAGAAGTAGATTGCCCAACCTAGGCCCTAGGAAAACAGAGACACTGAAAAACAGTCTGGTGGCTGTACTCACCAAGATACTGAATCTAGGGAGAGGGGCCAAAGAAGTATGGTGAAGGAGAGAAAGAAAGACACTCATCTTAGTTGTAGACATGTTGGAATTTAATCATCTCGGGATACCTCAGTGCATGTATAAAGTAGAAAATAGGATTATGGTACTCAGAAGCTGAGGGAACATAGCTGAGTTGTAGATTTGGGACTCTCTGCTTTATGAGGATTCCTCAAGGTATGGGGATGGATGAAATGTTCCACAAGAGCCATTGTAGGATGGGAGATGCTTAAGAATAGAAAACTTATTTAAATGACCGTCAATTGGTGACCCTTCAATAAAGAAACAGTATCTTAAAGGCTCATTAGGTTCAATGTGACTTTGAAAGATTACTAAATTTTTATCTGGGATGTGGTTTAGGCATTTGAAGGCACCTCACTCATGGATAAATAATACAGAGAATGATTATCTTGTAAAATTATGAATTATCTTTCCTGTGACTCATGCTTGTTGCTTCTAAAATGTGATTCATTATGAGGAAACTAACCAAATAATGCCTAAGGCACTTGACTGCTAACCAGAAGACTGGAGGTTCAAACCCACCAGCCACTCCTCGGAAGGAAGATGGGGCAATCTACTTCCGTAGTGATACTGCCTGGGAAACCCAAGGAGGGGTAGCTATGAGTCAGGTCCAACTCGATGGTACATAACAGCAACAGCAACCAAATAATAAATATCGTGTTGTATAAAGCCTACTAAGTACGTATTCCTGGCTAAAATCCATGTCAGCAAGAATATATTGAAAAATAATAAAAGCTATAAGAATACTTAATATGACTGAAACGTCCCAAAATTCTCAATGGTGTCTTAATTACCATATATACCATCAATTTCTGAATACTTAGCCTCCATGAATTTTCAACATGTACTGCTAAGATTTAGGCTGATAAAAATCTGATGGGTGAAGTTACTGCAAGACCACTAAAACCCTTGGGAGTGGTTTGTACCTTTGGTTGGCTTGAGAACCATAAATAAATGTTGATGATACTATTTTCTGAAATGTAAGAAAAGTGTTTTTACAATTGTAATCTGTTTCAACAGTCTTGAAAATACTTGTAAATTTTCAGAGTTTCATATATATGACCCCAAAATTTTAGGCATTTTAAGTTTTAAAAATTGTTTAACAAACACCCTTAAAATGGCATTAGTTGTCACCACAAGGAAAGAAAACAAACTTTATGTAAAGACTGTTTGATAACTTAGGAAGTAGGTGCCAGTAGCAAATGGCTGACTACCAGTTAACCACTGGAATGTTTTCTTTGACCTGTGTTTATTTACATGTTTTAATTTGAACACACTAAGAAGGGAGGAGAGCTAACTCGGACTTTGCCACTGGTCCCACCATTCCCTATTATGCACCTGATCAGACTGGTACCTTTTTCCTGCCTCGCATTTATGGTAGTTTAGTTATAGTTCTGGGATGAGGCAAGTTCTCTCTCTAGGCCAGGCTACTTATCCCTTATGGTTCTTTCTTACTCATTCATTCATTCATATATTTTTCTTTTTTATCTTGATGTGGGCCCCAGAGCCTGACTGATTTTAAATTTTATTTGTTGTTGTTGTTGTTGAGAATGTATACAGCAGAACATTCACCAATTCAGTAATTTCTATGTGTACAATTCAGTGGCTTTGATTACACTCTTCAAGTTGTTCATTCTCACTCTCCTTTTCTGAGTTGTTCCTCCCCATTAACATAAACTCACTACCTCCTAAGGTTACTATCTAATATTTTGATTTGCTTTTGTCAGTTTGTTTTCACATAAATAGTTCTTAAAAGAGTGCAATGCTCAAGGCAAACATTCTTTACTAATTAAGCTAAGCTATTGTTTGTTTTAAAGAAGACTTCATGGGATGTTTCTGGTTAAGGTTTAAAGATTATCTCAGAGAAGTAATTTCAGGGGTCCATTCAGCCTCTGAAGGAAGGTTGGCCAATCTACTCCAAGGAGGGATCGCTATGAGTCGGATCCTACTGGTCACCAGTGAGTGAGTTATTCAGCCTCTGTGGCTCAAGGCATTTTGGATTCCTTGAGAATCTGAAATTCTTTTCTGCAACC